CCATTCTGAGTAAGCAGTCAGGAACGTTTTGCCACACATTTGGGCACAATGCCGTATCCTTCATAGAGATTTAATCTTTGCACATTAATGAGCCCTGCAAATTTTCAAGGCAATACTCTTTAGTTTCCAAAACTTGAGTCAGTAAGACATGCTAATAATCCAAAAGATGTTAATTTGGAAAGGTGATGCAGAAGAGGTAGATCCTCTCATGATGCAAGTTACTATTCCCTCCCTGTGACAATTCTAAGCCAGCCTTCAGTAGTCGAAGTGGCATAAGTGATAGATGTATGCCAAATAAGAAAGCTGGAGAGCCCTAACTTGAAAATATTCCTTTGAACATACACATCTGGAGCTGAACAACATCCAAAATCATATCTAGCCACAACACGTCCCACACAGGCAGAGAAAAGCCTATTTGTGGACAGAGAAAAAGGTACAGTGTCATTAATGTGGAGAAGCCAGGATGGTGACAAAGTTCATGGTAGTGGTGGCTGCACTTCATCAGGAAAGGTCAGTATGGTGTTCTGTGCCATGGAATTATTCATCACTCTTTGCCATAAAGAATATTTGTGTTTCTGCTTCTAATCCAATCATGTTTTTATGTTTGTTGCCGGTGTGCCAAAATGATCTCCAGATTATGGTGAGTCATTATGGAGATCCCTGGAGCAACAGCCTGGGAAAGACCTGGGCTTGCTCAGAACAGGCATTTCAGGAGATATTAACAGTGATGGTTCTCTGACTGCAGTGATGTGCAGGCTTACTACTATCCTGGTAATTGCTGGAGGAAGATGCCCCAGTCTTAACTAATCATTCAGCTCTAAAACACAACACTGGTTCTGCTTCCCCAAGGAGGTTACAACTGAAAGCCTTAGATTGATGGTCTGACTTAGTTCTGGGGGTTTTCTTCAGCTCAGTGGGCCAAGCTCTCACCTAGGCACACAGCTGAGGGTGTGGATATGGCCAGGAGCCAGCACTGGTGTGGAAGAAGCTACTGCCTGGAGGATGCACTGATGTTTTATTTCACTTTTATCTAGCACTTGTGGGAGGGTTGTGCCAGGGCATTTGCTGCTCTGACACTGTGGTGTTTCCTGAAGCTGGGTTAGGAAGCCCATTTAGCTTCCTGGGAATAGGATGATGAATGGGAAAGAGCTGTGAGACAGTCAGCGGCTGAAGGCTCCCCATAATGACAGCTTGGGATCCATTCCAGTGATGACTATTCAGTTCTAATTGATGGGTGTTTGGAGGACAAAAAAAAAAAAAAGTGTTATTATACAGCTCATCAACTCTGGCTCTTAGGCTTTCTTCAGAAGTTTTTGATGTCGCACACAGTCATAGTGTCTAACTTAAGCTATGAGTGTGTGCCAGGACACTCCTGGGATCCTGAGCCAGGGGCTGTGCACCAGTGTGCCCATCCTGTCCTTTCCAAGGCATGCTGGGGATGAGGGAGGGGGATCTGACTTGGTTTGATCTGGAAGGACAATGCATGTTGCCCATTTTAAACCAACTTTAGTTTCCCCTGGCAGCAGTCAGCAAACCATCATCAAATCTACTGGAAAATCATCCCTAAAGTTGCATTTTCATGCTATAAATTATTCATTTCATATTGCTGTTGACTTCTAAGTGCTAGAGACCAAACTACTGACCAGAGGAAGCTAAATGTTAGTAAAGGCACTACTAATGCTGTTGAAGTCAGTTTCAAAAGAATTAACGTAAGCATTGTTTCTTAACAGCCACTGCTGGTTTTGCACCTATTAATTGTTAACTGTAACTGTCACTACTAGCTCTATAAATGTCTCCTGCAATTTTGCATGCTATTATTTTATGCTTATATGGTAAAACCCTCAGGAAAGGCAATGCCTCATAGCCTGCATTTGTGAAGTATCTGTCCCTTTATGGTGTCCAACATAACTGAAGCATCTAACAGTTACTGGAATTTACAAGCTACATAATAAGATAACGAGTCCATAAATGCTAGTCTGGAATTTTCTGCTCATTCCCCACAAGGGTGTCAACTGTGTTGAAGAATGGTCAGGAATTCACTCACTCCTGGCCATTATTTTTAGTAATTCTTTTTTACAGCTCCTTGCTGTAAAAAGGCTTACAGAGATTCAACTCTTCCTCCCGCAAAGAAGTCTTTCTGTGCAAAGTGAGACAAAATGAAGGAAAGACTTGCTTTAGGCACTGAATTTAGGACTAAGCCAGCCAGGTAGACTCTCTCTGTTGTCCACAGAAAAAGAGGGTTTGGGAATTCCAATCTCTGGCTGCTTTTCTGCTTTTTTTTTGAGGAATGTCCCAGTCTCTCCAATGGCTGCAATGGTCAGTTGTTAACCAGCTTGGCAGAGTTTAAATCAACATATCACCCTCAAAGCTTCTGCCCTTGCAAAGATCTCTGCCTGCTATGGTGGATGATTTGGTTACTTTGGTTACTGGGATCTTTTAATTTCTCAGGTGATCACCATAGGAATGAGCCCAGGGCAGTAGCTGGTAACTTAGATGCTCGTAATCGGTGAGGTTAACACACTCCTAGCACAGCACATGGTACCTGACCATCCTCATCTACTTTGAGGCTGGCTGAAGACAGCATCCCCATAAGATAAGGAGAAAGGGTGATAACAAACCCACAGGTGTTTTGGTTTGCAAATTTACACTCACGGAGGCTTTGGTTGTGATAAGCATAGAATCATAAAATGGGTTGGGTTGTAAGGGACCTTAAAGATCATCCAGTTCCAACCCACTGCTATGGGCAGGAACACCTTGACAGAGACTTTTCATTCTCCAGACACAAACTCTCTTATCTTCTTCTCCCAAGCTTTGGGTAAGGACCATTGCCATGATGGCTGTGAGCTGCACTGCTGACCCTGATGGCTGGGATAATACAGCTTTCTGAACTGGCATTTGGTATGGTATAATGAAACAGTGTCTTGTGTGTAGGCTGGGCAGCAGAAACATGCCTTACTGCAATTCATTCCTCTTTCATGATTGTTTACAACCTTAACAATTTGAGCCCGATCCTTTATAGCATAGATTACGCTTAAATTATGTGGGATGGTTATGAGGAAGCTCTAGGCCACACTTATGTAGGTTGTTCTAATTTTTTCTGCAGAATATAGGACTTCAAAACATCTCTGTGTGCTTAATGTGTTGTAGATAAGAGTTCAACTGTAATAAAATTAATGACATGTTGCTGCAGTTTTACGTATTGATAATGAGTAATAGTTTTACTTTAAAACACCATCTCATGCTCTTCCTAAACAGACCCTTCATAGCTCTACAGGTCAAGGTTATTTTCTTTGCCATAGAAAACAATTTGTTGTTCTCTGCTACACTAAAATCAAAGTCTTAAATTTGTGAACCTTCTGGTCTTTATATGGTGTAAATTTCATCTGTCAGTTGAAAAGATACCCAAGAGGGTTACCCTGCATAAACTCTGGGCTTATGATGTTTAAAAAAAGTTTGAAAACCAGCCAAGCAGTGTGCTAAATTAAGCTCTCCTAACTAAACTTATACAACACAAATAATATAAGCCTTCCTTTTCCAGTGTTAACTTTGCTGGTTACTTCATTGTATAAGGAAGTTGCAATTCTCCATGGAGTATGCAGATTTATGTAGTTTCCAGCTCTGCTTCCAGCTGGAGGATTTGGATTTCTTCAACACATTAACCAAGGAATTCAAGCCAAATTTTTCAAAATGTAATGAGGAATTTTGCTTGAAAATGAAACCTTTTGTTGTCCGTTACAAGAGATCAGAAACAGCCTAAGTAAGTCAATTGTCAGATGGATGTCGCACTGTGTGGGCTCAGACCTAAAAACTAACCCTAAGAAAGGCTGAAGGAAGTTGAAGGAAGAAGAAGTTGAAGAAGTAAAGAAGAAGTTGAAGTCAGCAACATCTGATTTACAAGTAAATTAAGTCATTACTAACAGGTAGATCTTGTAGCCTCCAGGTAGTTAAGAGTTAAAGCACTTACAGCCCAAGGCTTTTTACCTTCTTCTCCTACCTTTCTCTTCAGTGGATCAAGTAAGTGTTATTTGGCTTATTCTTTTGACTGTTACGTCTTTATATTACTGTAAACCTTTACTGTTATTCCCAACATTATTGCCTATAAACAAGTCTCTACTGCAAGCAGTGCATTGTGAGCAACTTTTTCTCTCTGTGAGCTAGTGGAAGGATAAAGACAACCTCTGATCCAACAGTTTAGTGTGATTGTTTAATTCCACCCCTTTCATGACAAATCCTTACAAAAGATTTTAAGGATGTTCACATTCTCTGGACAACACACAAATCAATAATCAGGACATGTCTTAAGTGAGGAATCACTTTGGCATCACTGTCCAACAGTTTTAAGACAAGGAGAAAAGAAAGCCGGAAGGCAAATATTATGATGGAATATGAACTTTAATTGAAACAGGACAAGGACTTCATAGCAGCAGGACACAGCAATGCAGAGAGTACAGAATACATTTTCAGGGTTAGCTCAAGGTAGATGTGGTTGTCTTCTTTGGGGCTTACAGTTTGTAAGATGATCTTCTGTCTTTGTTGCATTTGTAGCATTTGAGAGATGAGTTGGGTTTTCACCACACCAGTTTGTTTGGGATTTTTTTCTCTGTGCCTTTTTTAATCCCAGACTACATGAAACAGGGTAGCTCCCAGGATCAAACTGGAGCCTTGAGAAGCTTTAAAGTTTGTCCATCTGAGAGGCCAGAATATGGAGAATCTAATTTGCACTGATGCTTAGTCTTCTATAAATGACAGGAATTTCAGCTAAGGCCTTTTCTATGTTTCTCAGAGCTGGGATCTTGTTAGCAGATACCTAATCCAACAGGAAGGAAAATACAGTGTCTGGGTTTGTTTCTCAGGGTGGATGAGTTTGTCCAGCTCCTGAGGATCCCTGCTGCAGTCCAGTACATTGTCCCTCTGAAAGCCATATCCCTCTGCTCACTCATGGACTAGGAATTTGCCCTGGTTCCTGCTGGGTCCAGCTCCCCAGGGAATCCCTGCAGGGCTCAGCAGGGCCCACAGCTCCCACTACGGTAAGTTGTGTACCTGCGGGAATAGCAGGGGTAGGAGTACCTGCCACCCACGGAGGTGCCAGACCCAAAGGAGCTCTGCACATCCTGGGAGCTCCCATACCCATAGGAGTTGCCTATCTCCAGTGGGGCTGAGGTGCCCACAATGCTCTCCTGAGGGCAGGAGCTGAGGATGGGGCCTGGGAAGACAATGGCCACGGGTGGTGGGTAGACCACAGCACGGGAGTCCCCACAGGAGGTGACGCAGGGCTGGCTCCAGGCATTGGCATATGGCACAGGGCAGCTCACATCACAGGGTGAGTAGCTGCCATAGTTGCAGACCTGTCCGTTGAAAGACATCTTTCTGGCTGGAATTAAGCCTGAAACACAGAGAGTGGGAGAGCATGGGTGAAGGGTGCCACTGCAGGTGTGCTTGCAAAAGAGAACCCTCATTTATTCAAAGCAGTGACAGTGAAGAACACATTCAGAGGACAAGTGCCACAGGAAAATCTATTTAGAGTTAGAGGTAAGAAAGACAAAATGCATTTTACTCTATTTAATTTTCTATTACTCTATTTCACATCTTGAAATAGTTCTTACAGCATTCCTTATCTGGTGAAGGCTCACAGTACAAGTATATTTGCAAAGGGGAACCTTCATTTATTCAAAGCTTACAATATTCAGAAAGTTACTCTTCTATAGCTAAGTATAAAGTCTGATTGCAATTCATATACAGAAATCATGAAGATTAGGTAACCTGTTAAAAGTCAACAAGGCCTCATTAAGGACAGAGGAGGATTAACCTAGTAATATTTAGTTAAAACTGTTCCTAAAAATATTGTCTTCATTTGTAAAGTACTCCTAGGCATAGACAAATGTCAATAAGCATTCTTTCTTTGAAACATGAAAAAATCTCTTCAAGCTCCATTCTCTCCATATATATCCCATATGTTTCAAAGCCTGCCAAGCTGAAAGGTGTCACCCAATCTATTTTTATGAAAATAACATTCTTACACTAATAGGAAAAGAAATATTAACTGCTCAGACATATTTACATTGAAACTCTTATTAAATTAGCTTTTGAACTCAGAGAACAGATATAACTGAAGTATAGACTTACTCAGTTCGCCACCAAGGTGAAACCAAGAAGAGTGGTTTGAAGAACTCTGTGCTCCCAGCTCTTTTATAATGTTCCTCAGAGCAGCTCCAGGGGCTGAGCCATGCTTCAGGCATGTAGTTCTTCCTAGTTACAAAACAAACTTTCCAGCATTTGTCACATCTAGGGGTGGAGGGATCCTTGCGTGTTGTTTGCAGTTAAGCAATTATTAGTTGAATGGTATCACATCCATTTTGCAGCCTACAGGCTGCTTTCATCTCAAAATAGGGGCAGTGTTCACCCTTAGTTTCTTTCTACTCATTGCAGACATTCACTTCCTTCTTCCACTTCTCCAAGCTTCAAAGCACATAACTTAGATCAGCAGAACAGAGGATTGCTGATTTGACAGACTAATTTTTTAAACAATGTGATTTTGTCGTGCTTGGTGTAAATGTTTTTAAACCTTTTAGTTACAAAGAGAGATGAAACTTTTATACCACCTTGGCAACGTACCTTTCTGCTCCCTTTTTATCCCCACTCTCTTTTTCCTCCATAGGTAAAAATAAAATAGAAATCTATAGAGCACAGACTTCAGCTGCTTCAGTTAATAGTGATCACAGCTACAGAGAAGCAGCTCTGTGATGTAAGTTCCTTTCTGACGTTACTACTGAGTTACTACAGACTATTTTGAAGAGGTGATGAAGAGGGAAAAGAGGGCTCATATGCTGCAGAAGTCTTCCTATCTCACTTCATTCCTGGTGCATATTGTTGTACATTGTCTAGTTAAAAACATTATGAGAAAGGGCAAGGAAATCCTTGTTTAGGATTGCTGGGAAGGAAGTAGCCTCATGCACAAGTTAATCCAAAATGTACTGCTTCTAACAACATTGTCCTGAAAAATGAAGTTGGACCTTTTCAGAGAGTGGATCTTGGTCTTGCCATGTACAGGAGTTTACAACATTTACAACTGGAAAACTGTATCCAGCTCCTTACCTGGATGCAGTTAAGATGTAACAGACCACATATGAAAGTGAGTGATCAAACAGTGGGGTCTTCCTGCACCTGCATATAAATGTGATGATCTTAAAGGATTTATATGTCAGAAGTATTGTTTACAACGTTTAGTGATTGGAAAGCTGAATTAGATTACACGATGATTCCCTCTTGACAGAAAAACTCATATAAGGAACCATGTTCCTGCCCCACAATGAGGTGTTATCTGCACTCCTGTGGATTCATCTGATGGCATAGAAATTCCCTGGTCATTATCCTGGTCTTGCTCCCTAACCTACTACGGAAAGTAAAACCTGGAAAACAGAAAGTAACATCAAGCCTAGATACAGGGCAAGTTAAAGATGTCCGGGTTAAAGCATGGTGGTCTGGAGCACATTTTCAGCATAACCTTTGGCAAGAACCTGGGGAGAGGTTTTTGGATGCCCTCGTTGCCTTGCATGCACTGGGGCAAATCCAACCCACCCTCTGCACTCAGTGCAGGAGGGTCTCACTCTGCAGTGAGTGAGGGGATAGTAATCTTTCCTTTCACCATACCTAAAACTAGTTGGTTTCATTGATTGGTTCCTGGCAGCAGTGACTGTCTGAGCTCTCTATTTTCATGGTTTCTGGGTGCCAACTTCATTTACATAAGCCGAAAGATAATAGAATTATAATTATGAATAATAACACTAACAAGTACAAGACATGCCCAAGATCTCCTCCCAGAGGCTCACTTAATTGCTAAGAGATGTTTGGTAAGTTATTTGGCCTCTGTCTTAATCATCTCTTTTACAAATCATCATCATCAGTGATTGCCCATTTCATGTGGGTGTTACATAGGCTTGGGCAGAGCAGTGGTTTACCTGCTGAGAAAAATGCAAAGGGGAAAGGTAACTTGGAAGCAGAAGAAATTAGATGAAAATCTGGCTGTAGTGTGCACCTAAAGAATGCAGTGACCCATGAGATCAGTTTAAATGAAATGAGTTTCATGGCCAAAATGCCAAAATCCCAGGATGTGTCAGACCTGGAAGGCAGTAGTTGGGAGTCCTGACACTGGACTTTCTAAGTCTTGCAACACATTCTCCTTAGTCCTGTAAAATACCTCTGGGATTAAATCCTTAAAAAACCAGATGTATAATATTCAAGGTTGCTGATGCAACACTAACTGTTGTCTGAGCAGGCAGTGTGCGCTTGCAGCCCAGAAAGCCAACCATATCCTGGGCTGTATCAAAAGAAGCATGATCAGCAGGTCAAAGGAGGTGATCCTGCCCCTCTACTCTGCTCTCCTGAGACCTCACTTGGAGTATTGTGTACAGTTCTGGTGTCCTCAACATAAAAAGGACATGGAGCTGCTGGAGCAAGTCCAGAGGAGGGCCACAAGGATGATAAGACAACTGGAGCACCTCCCGTATGAAGACAGGCTGAGAAAGTTGGGGCTGTTCAGCCTGGAAAAGATAAGGCTGCGTGGAGACCTTATAGCAGCCTTCCAGTATCTGAAGGGAGCCTACAAGGATGCTGGGGAGGGACTCTTCGTTAGGGACTCTAGTGGTAGGACAAGGGGTAATGGGTTTAAACTTAAACAGGGGAACTTTAGGTTAGATATCAGGAAGAAGTTCTTTACAGTGAGGGTGGTGAGGCACTGGAATGGGTTGCCCAAGGAAGTTGTGAATGCTCCAACCCTGGAGGAGTTTAAGGCCAGGCTAGACAGAGCCTTGGGCAACATAGTTTAGTGTGTGGTGTCCCTGCTTATGGCAGGGGGGTTGGAACTAGATGATCTTAAGGTCCTTTCCAACCCTAACTATTCTATGATTCTATGATTCTATGGTGGAAGAACAAGGGATGGTGAAGGATGTCTATAATCTGGACTTCTCCAGTTTTTCTCTTTCTGTCTTTACAAGGTATTTACATTTCCATCCCTATGGAAATGCCTGTGAAAACTGACCATCTGCAAGTCTTTAAGTTGCACACTGTATAACACATGCCCATGTTGCCATGACACTTGAAGGTCTGAGGAGCATGCAGAACCAAGCTGCAGTTCCTGTTGCCAGTGATCATGGTAGAGTAGCAGAGCAGTGGGGTATGGAAAATAATAAACCTGTATTTCCTGGTTTCTAGCATGTGTCTTGTGGGATCAGCATCTTTAGGAGAGCAGGCCTACAGTAGGCAGAGGTCTCCTGAGCTAGGAGTGACCACCAGTTGCCCTTCTAAAACGAAAGAGTTGACCCGATAGTACCTGATCTGTGCTAATTACTTTTCCTCCAAACCACTTCTGAACCATTATCTTCCTTTCTTCATCCTCACCCAATAGTTTTCTTCCTCCTCAGACTTTGGAAATTGTCTCTCTACAGTGCCCTTTTTAACTCCTTCCCTGGAAATCATATTTGCTTTGTGATCACACCAGTTTAGTTTCTGCCCATTTAATACATGCAGTCTTATTTCTCAATCTTAGTATTTTTATATCTCAAGAGAATATAAACCCCTTGTTTCTCCACTGTTTTATACACAGCCACTCATTTGTACAACACCCAAAGGAATTGGGTAATTTCTATTGTTGCTTTCTTAAAGGGATTATTAAAAGACTGAGGCACTCAGCACACCAAGTCCTCCTCCTTTTATCTCCTGCACTGGTGACACTGAGTCAAAGATTAATGTTTGGAGAACTGTAAGAAACAAAATAGGAGATTGTCCATCTCCAAGACACAATGGGAAGAAAAATTCATGTCTGTGCAACACATTTACAGGAAATTAAGGCTGTGCCATCAGTACCCTGAACATAACTGAGACAGATTCTGGTATTCTCAGCCCAGAAAAATAATAGGACAGGTACATGGTGGCTAACACAGGTTTCTGAGATTTAATAATTTTATTTCTGCACTTCTGTTTCCCAATTCAGTAAGCTATACATGTTGGTGTATGAATTCTTTAAGATTAGTAAAGATCATTCCTTAAGTCAAGGATGATCATCATTATAACCATAGAATCAGCTATGTTGGAAAAGACCTTTAAGATCATCAAGTCCAGCCATTACACCAGGATTGCCAAGACCACCACTAAACCATGTCACTCTGCCTTGGTTCTACACCCAGTTACAATACCTGAGAGCTGGGCATTAATTTCTGTGTTTCATACGTAAAAGTTAAAACCTGCCATTTAAATAGGGCACATCTAGTACCCCATTTCACAGTACCCAGTTCTGGCAATTTGTAGCTAACAGTCCAATGCTGAATATGGACTATGAAATTTAAAAGGATTTAAAATTATTCCTTCCAAA